AAAACTGACTTTTCTGAGCAGTTGTCAGTAAAGGTAGAGAGTGACACAACTGGATTTTCTCTCTATTAATGCAGAGAAGAAAAACTGGTAATGATTCTGCTACAGCAGCAGACCTATTAGCAAACACTTTTGCTGTACTTTATCTTTTGCTCACAAGAGCAAAAGGGGAGCAGGGAGGCACGGGAATGAGTTTGAAAGAAAGTACATGGGTCCACAGGTCACACAGAGTAGACTTTGCAACCTGTTGCTTCTGGGAAGCACTACTCCCTCATTATCTAGAAATCACAAAAGCAGTTGGCTTGAGCCTTTCAAACATATATCTACCAGCTTTTATAACCATTCAGCTCCACAGACCCCGATAAGATCCGTTTCTTTAAGATAAGGCATCTCTAATCTTCCTCATTTCCTGCAGGCAGGAAATGATAAAACTGCTACAGTATGCAAATAAGAACTTTGCAACCAGTGTTATTTTCCCAGTGCCAAAAAACAGCACGTGTATTTGCTCCAATATTTCTTTTTCTGGCCATCTGTAAACCTTTAATTTTTTTTTAATTTTTTTTATTTTATTTTTTTTATTTTTTTTTACTGAGACATGTTTTTACTATCAGTAAAAGAAAACCTTGGGTTGGCACCCCTGTGGTTTTATACTTTGCTGCCCCCACCACAAGGGTCCCCTACTCCCCCACACCCCAAACTGCACCCCACACCATGCTGTCCTTCTCAGCCTACCCTGGAAGTTTTACTTTCACTGGCCCCACTCCCCCATCCCAGGATGAACCCCCCATCCACTGCCTCTCCTCCTGCGGACCCATAGTTCCATCTGGGTCACACTATCTTCCTCCCTGTCCCTTAAAGCAAGCAAGTGTAAGAGCCAAGGGATGATCAAAGGGACCCGGGCGGGGGGTGTTGAAGCAGGCTCTAGTAAGCCACAAAGCCCAGACAGATCTATGCAGGGTGCTGCACTCCTGCTCACACAGGAGGTGGCTTTGTTGTCTTTCAACCTGCCTCCAGCTTTTTTTTCCCTGAAACTAAGCTAAAGCTCCAGTGACTTCATATTTCTAAGAAAGATAAACTGTTTTTAAATGACAGGCATATTTAGGGTGTTTTTTATGGAGTGTCCATACATTTATAGCAACTCCAATTTGCTCACATTTGTGTTTATTTGTGTATTCGCATGCATAAAAATGGGTTTCTGCCTCCAAATACATGCACATAGGTATGCCGCTACTTACAAAGGGAAATTTAATTTGGAAACTAGGAAGAACTTCCTAACTATGATGGTGGTTAAGCACTGGAACTGACTGTTGGTGGTTAAGCACTGGAATTGACTTTCCTAGAGAGGCTGTGGAATCTCCATCCTCATTTAAGAAAAGGTGAGACAAATCCTAGGCTGGGATGGCCCTGCCTTGAGCAAAGGGTAGTTGGACTTTCTGAGGCCCCTTCTATACCTATTTTTCAGCCATTCAGAGCAGAACTGCAGAGTCAAATCAGGCCCAAAGCATAGGTTCAAATTTAAGAAGGGATTGCTGGAGTTACTGCAACGGAATGGCAAAACTGCAGTGAGGAAAGGTTTCAAGATAGGCAGGTTCCCTGCTCTGCAACCAGGTAACAAACACTTCCACTTTTATGCACGCTTGCTAACTCTCAAGAATTTGTTGCAAGACTTGCAATATTTGGTGTTTCTTCTTAAAGAATCACAGTTTGGAATCATGTCTTAAAAAACGAAAAAAAATTGGTATCCACCCCTCTTAGGTAAGAACTCAAGCTTGAAGCTGGGAACATTCCAAGAGCCTTTAAATCTTTAAAAAATGATTTAAAAAAACCAAAACATTTAATGAGTTTTGGTTTTGACTGGCAACTTTTGAGCCCTTAGGACCATCTCTCTTGCCCACTTTAGAATGACTTTTTGTTGCTCTTCCCATCATCCTCAATGAGTGCCAGATACTCATCATGCAACCAAGCATATCCATCATAAGCCTTCCTAAATTCCACTTGTCATACTATTAAAAACACTTACTCCCACTTTCTCTCTCAAGAAGCTGGTCATCCAACTGATAACGTGAATGCAAGCAAACTACATTATCTTCAGTTTATGGTCCAATTACAATTTTTATGAATCTCTTAATATGCCATAAAACTGATTTAATTCTTGAATCAAGGGAGCAGCAAAAAAGTTAAATCTGTCATCAATTACACAGGTGAATTTATTACTTCATTACTGGAGTTTACACCAATTTTACTATGTTATCAAGATACTTTTTAAGCTAAATGCATTAAAAGATTTCAAATCAGCTCTAGAGCTTTCACTTTGCAAGATGTGAGAACACTTTTGCACTGTGCCAAAGGTTGCCAGCAGGCTAAGTAGCCTTTGATCTAGGCCAACTGCATGTGAAAGAAACAGATTTCCTTGTTTAATTATTACTCTCTCCATGGCTTCCCTAGACAGTAAGCATATACTGACTTTTTAAATGATGCTGAAATGTTCTTTCATCCTCCTGACCTTGCACCAAAAGCAAAATTATGGCTCTGTTTTAGTCAAAGGCAGAATTCCCATGAAATTCAGTGGAATCAGGATTTCACTCACTGCCTCCAGGAAACTTCACTTAGCCTTCCTGAAGTCAATAT